TACGCACATGTACAAAATGTTCAGTCGATCGATAGAAAAATGTTAAAATACTATTTTAATACTTAAAGTGTAGATTGCTAGTTGCTTTGTCCTAATATTCGCGAGAAAAACACTACGTCATCATTTTCGTATTCCCTATGTCCTTATATTTACTAATTCCTACTTTATATTAGGTTGTTCGAAAAGTCCTGCGACACTTTGTTTGAACTATTCTAGAAAAAGACCAAAAATCATTTTGAATGTTTTTATCTCTGATTAGTGGAGACTGTCTCCTGGGGTTTCTGAAAATGGGTATATCATGGCTCCGTGGAAGTTTTTTCAAAGCTTAAAAATACCTCAGAGATCGAGGTACTTCTCGACCTATCCCATATTATGAGTTCCTGTAGGGCAGCTCGCCATAGTCGAGGAAGCTAACACTTGACGCTTGTTTGAGAAGGGATATGCAAGCTTGCCATAGCAGAGAGTTCCTTTTGCATCAGCGCTTCCGCTGGACTTATTCAACTCGGAAGTAGGCAATGTATAGGTCGGCCACCAGCACAGAATGACGGCCCTTTACTTCAAGCTTTCTTGAAACGGCGGCAGCCGAAACGTAACCACCAGTAAGTTGGCAACCTCTCTAGGCTCCACCTAACTGACAACTGCCATGCTTCTCCGCAGTCTCGGTTATCGGAAAAATTTTTATGAAGGATGCCTCATGAGTTGAACCCCTCTGACAAGTCATACCGAATGACCGTGACTGAGTTTTTTTTCCTTGTACACACTGGAGGAACATTTGTGAGATCTTGTGGTTGGTAGAGAGTGGTGGGGTCCTTGCGTACATCTTGCACATGTTCCTCGCAGGATCTCTCAAACAGAAAAGTAGATTGCACAGCCAAAAGCAGATGTGCATGGGATAAAGATTTCAGTAGGTTATTGGTGGGACTTCAAAGCGGTATCTCTGGATACTAGCATAACAGTAAGGACTACAGTCCACTCTAACCAACCATCACAAAGCATAGGATGACGCCGACGCTGTGAATTTCTTCAAAAATACTCAATTTTTCTCTACCGCTCGGCAATGCGAAGACCGCATGTTAGGATCAGGCCACACCAAAAGATCGTGGATCTTGATCTGAGAATGCGACCATACCCAGCTTATTCATCAAAGTTAGCAGTCTCTAACTACTACCTTTTTTGATCCCTACCGCATCCTTAAGAAGGCAAAAATTCCGAAAATCGACGTCTACTCAAAAATGAGGTCCACCTCTTCTTCTTATCATAGTTGCCGTAGTTCTATAAGAATGGAAATGAGAAGCTGTGCAAAAGAAGGGCACTAGTCCTAGTCCTTAGTGGTGATTACCTTGTAGATTGGAGATGTCTTTTAGTGACTGAAAATTTAGTCCGAAAAATTGGTCAAAGTGTCGCAGGACTTTTCGAACAACCTAATATATATCAAAATTTTGATCAACACTTCACGTCCTTGTAGTTTCATACACTCAAGTACGGTCTAATATGTACTCCCACGGACATTCATTCCCAAATTGTGAAAGTAAGTTAGTTTATATTATAAAACATTGTATTGCTAGAAGTACACCATTCTATTTTAGAGGGAATATTTTTGAGAATAGTTGAAAGTATTATTCACATTATGTATTATGGTATTGTTATAATGTGTTGTTAGCCATTTCATTTTACAGAGAACTAACATTTGTTGTGGAGTAAGTTGTAACAGATACATATGCCATAATCTTCAATCGGGAATCTCACCCTTATCGTGAACGTAAGTTTGATTGCGTTTCTAATCACATTATTATTAACTTAATCCTATTTAGGTCTTCTGAGTTTGTTTTGTCTTGTTATACTTGCCAAGAATCTTATTTAGGATACTCTTTCTTATCTTGGAGGTAAGTTGAATTCTATTATCTATTTCGTTCTTATTTTCATATACCATTTCCAATCCGAGGAATTGTTTTTATTTTTTTATTTGGTATTGTTATTTATTTCAACAAATTGGTTGGTAGTCATCTACTCTTTGTTAGATACCGTTGTAACGCAGTAATTTTCGTGTTTATTACTACATTATAGCATTAAATTATTCATGCCGGGTGACTATTCATAAAGTAATTAGTTTAATCTTTCAGAGCAAATGTTGGCTTAAATCATCTTTTTCGAATAGTTATATCTAATCTGAACCTTTTCTCGATTGCTCCTTATCCTTGTTGAAGTAAGTTAATTTTTCTATTTGTCATTATTGAATTACATCATTTCCGATTCGAGGAAATGTTACAAATGCTTTTGTAGAAAAGTTGATATCACTTATACGATTTTGCTTTGTGGTATTGGAATCATTGCTTGCTCTCTAATTGTTTGCTTTCATGAGTGACACAGTACGGAGTGAGGTGTGTATTTCTTGTGGTATAAGATACTGAATACAAAGTACTAACTAAAGTAGATGTGGAAAAATAAAGTTAACATTCCAGAAGCCTGGTTTTACCAGTAGCAATACTGATCAAGTCAAACGCTGTAAAATTCAGCAAGAATCCATAAATAGGACTGTTATATCCAAACATTCAAAGGTTTTGTTCGTGCCTAATGTTGAAAAGGAGTCTGTTAAAGACGTAGTAAAGAAATTTTTACTGGATATAATCAAGTGAGTTAATATACTAGTTACTTAATAATGGCTCTAGTTTCTAAACAAGTTTTGAGGTACAACAATGAGAAAGATCCAGTCCCTTCTCGGTTGGATTAAACCTGCTGGAAACCTGAATGACACCACACATTCCAAGGGTAATAAATCTTTTGACTTATGTATTGTACATTCCTCTACTTCAATAAAGAAAAATTTAGGCAGAAATGTCCAGTTCTTTCTGGGATTTTTATTTGGAGAAGGGCAAACGAAATATACAAGATTACAATAAAAAATACAATGTATGCTAACGTAAAAGTGTTAGAGGACGGCGGGTTCAAAAACAATACCGTGAATGACCTAGAAAAAGATTGAGGAAGTAAATGTAAAAATATAAAAAGATAGAAACAAATTATATTATTTTATACAAGGATTCTGTTTATAGCCTTTACCTGCGTAAAAAGATTCGAGTGTACTGTGAAAGTCAAAAAGAAGTGCCGCCCGAGATGACTGTTTAAAATGCTTATATCTCTATCAAGAATAAGAAGGGAATTTACTCTGTAAGTATAGTAGTTGAGAATTACTTATATTGTGTGCATATGGGTACAAGTAAATCAAATAAGTAATAAAATAATAAGTCTCGAATTAGCCGTAAGATTGGGATGGATTTATGATGAATGGAATGGCGCCCCTATAAAAGAGTTATTATCACCGGTGGAGCTGAAAAGATATGAGGTAAATGAGTACCTCCATTAGTCATTAGATATTAATAGATCTAGTTCTTTAGGAAGGTACATTAGAATGGGGTAGTTTATCCATTGAATCAATAATAAATGGTACTGAAGTCTATAAGAAGAATGAAAAGTTCAAAGTTCGAAAGAGGTATGTGATCATAATTGCAATAAAACATTAGTTGGTATATGTTAGTGTTCTTAAGGAATATGGCTGGCAGTAGAAAGCAGAGAAGCAGAAAGAAGTATTGAATTCAATGTTAAGCAGTCTCGATGTGAAGATGAAGAAGAAGTGGAGTCACGAGAATAACTAGAAATACACCTTCGCAGTTTTATTCAGATGTTGAAGTTTAATACTAATGTTGTAGCAAGGAATATAACTTGTTAAGACGTATTTCATTTACCCTAAAAATCCCATAGATAAGAGCGGTTTGTGCTAGAAAATGAAAATTGACGTTTGTATACGTTTTTTTGGCGTTGTGTGCTCATGATTATCGCAATAATAGCCTACAACTCTACCTTTATTCTTACTGTTTTCTATACTCTTTCTATCCTGTATCACCTGCTATGAAACGTCGTAAATCGTATACAGCAGCTTTCAAGCTAGACGCCGTCAATTATCGTGATTTGCATGGAACCTTGGCAGCGGCTCGTCATTTTGAAGTCACTGAAGCAATGATAAGAAAGTGGGTTGTTGATCGACAAAATCTTCAAGAGATGCCAGCAACGAAGAGAGCCACACCGGTAAATTTTCACCGGTAATTTAAAAAGCTCTTATCTATGGGATTTTAGCGGTAACTAATAAATTTTGCAGTAAGAGGTTAAGAGTGCTTTATGAAAAGGAGTAAGTGTGATTAACAATGCAATTTGTAAATATGTTAGTCATGTAAGAGTAAAGAAGCGTCCAATCGACGTCAAGGAGGACCACGTCCAACATTCACCGTCGGTGACAGTGAGGCGATGCTCTCAAATTAAGTATGAAATTCAATGAAACACCGTTCGACGGACTGGTTGCAACTGTCCACGGGGTTTCCTCTATGGTAGCAGTGTACACGAGCAGTCAATCAATAAAAAAATAACAATAGTGATGAAATTAGAAAAAATGAGAAAAGGATTAGAGATGGTGGTTTCGTTTCGTCTCCTATTCATACGAACCCTTTCGTCATTACCCTTGAGGCTCATCGGTGGATGAGGGTAATGACTAATACCAATGGGTAAAAGAGTCATAGAAGTGGGTTAATCCCACTTATTTGCGAAAAAAAGGTTACGTCAATGAAAAAATGAAGAAGAAAGAAATAGAAACTAAATATGTAGTAGGAATGAGTGAACTAGTTCATGTTACCTAAAAAATGTCCGGAAGATAGTAAATTGAGTGTACGGTAGTCCTTAAAGGACTCACTATCTTATTAGAGCGTGTTACATATAATGTACACTCAATAGAAGAAGTAACCGAAACGTAACGGAACAAGTCCGTAAAAGGTAGATACACACACATTAACTAAAATGTTTATTCCAATGATATGCTAGGTATTATATCGTTGACCCATAACCACTTATCGGACATTATATCACAACCTATTTCCCACCACCAATGTTCTCTAACCACCCCTGAATCACTGTTGGAAGCAGTCTACCACTGTTGCTACAACTTTAGCTAAACGTTTCAGGAGCTTCCTTTCTTGAGTGATCCCCTGTGGTATCTTCTCATGTTATCTTTTCCTGCCACCCACGAAAAATGTTCCATCCTGCCCCCTATATCACTTCTTGGAACCGACATTACACCGTTGCTGTGACGCTTGTTATGAATTTGATGACCCTCCCCTTAGGCCCCTATTGTATCTCATAAGTTGTTTTCCTACCACCCACCAATATTGTTCCCAACCTGCCCCCACATCATTCTTGGAACCACCGTCCCACCGTTGCAGTGACGCGAGTTATGAATTTGGTGATCCGCCCCTTTGGGCTCCTTGTCAGCCCTTGTCAGCTGTTATCACCTCCTGCCACCCACCAATGATGTTCACGTTCAGCCCCTACAGAGGGGAGGCCAAAAAAGTCACTTCGACCGAGTCACATATCAGCAAAGTTTTCGCTGCCCAGACAGAGGACGTGGATACGAGTACCAGGGCGGAAGATACCCAAG